TGTCCTGGTGGGACTGAATCACAATCATTCAAATTCTACTGTCTGTTCTTTTACCTTCCATCATAGAGTGAAACATAGGACTTCGACATTTCTAAAATTGGTCAGCCTTTTCGGCTTAGTGTTCTGCAAGCTGAGGTAGCCAGTCATAAACTATCCCTCCTAGGGCCTCTTACGACATACATGGTGGCCTACAACCAGCGATGTGTCCACTCTTGGATCAGGTAACTAACACGCGAATGACTGACTAGTAGATATTCTTCTCAATGAATCATCGCCACTTGACAGCCATGACCCCTGACCCCCTGGCTCGAAACATGCGGTGAGTATAAAAATAATCGATGACAGCGCGTTGAACTAGGGGATTATTAAACACGCGATAACTACAGCGTGCACACATACAAACATACATAGACACTTACAAAACACATACACACTCACATATTAAAGGACATATATACACGCATACATACGCACAGCATATACATATACATACACAAACACAAACACACGTACACATACATACACACTGAAGTCTGCTGGGATCAGATCAAAGGAATCTGGAATGAATCTTGTGTAGAAGTTTTTTTTTTGGGGGGGGGGGGGGGCGGAAACATAACACCAGAAACCATAAAATTGATTGAAGAAAGGAAAAGTAAAAAGGCAAACTTAAACAATAGCAAAACTAGAGCTGCTAAAGCTAGAGCTCAGGATAAATACACAGAAGCCAATAAGGAAGTTAGGAGGCATATAAGGGCAGATAAAGTGAAATGTTTAAATGATCTAGCACAGGAAGCAGAGACAGCAGCAGCAAAAGGAAACTTCAGAGAACTTTACAGTAACACAAGAAAATTAGGTAAATATATTCAGGCAACTGGATTAATCAAAAATAGTCAAAGACAGGTACTTACCAACACTAAAGATCAAATGAATGAACAGATGGGCTGAATACTTTGAAATGCTTCTAAATAGACCAGGCCCGGAGGTTCCCCGAGATATCCAGCCTTTAGAAATGATACTGCACATCAACGGTGAGATACCATCTAAAGAAAAAATTTAAAAAGCTATCAATCTTCTCATAGAAGGAAAGGCGGCAGGTCCAGATGGTATCCCAGCAGAAGCCATTAGGGCCAACATAAACACATCAACGGAATTTCTACATAGATTATTTAGTAAAGTCTGGAAGACCGAAGAAATACCAGCAGACTGGAGAGAAAGATAACTTGTGAAACTGCCCCCCTCCCCACCCCCCAAACAAGTTTTACAAGAGTGTGAAAACTATAGAGGAATTATGTAGCTGCCAGTTCGGGGGGAAAATATTAGGTAGAATTATTTTGGAAAGATTAAAAGATGCTATTGACAAAATGCTAAGAGAATAACAGGCAGGTTTTTTGCCAAACAGATCCTGTACTGACCAGATAGCCACATTACGTATTATAACAGAGCAAAGCATTGAACTGAACTCTCTACTTTACATTGGATTCATATACTATGAAAATGCATTTAACAGCATTGATAGGGAATCTTTCTGGAAATTGATGGGGCACTATGGAATCCCACAGAAAATTATCAACTTAGTAAACGCAACATACAAAGACATGAAATGTCGAGGTCTTCATAAGGGAAAGCTAACAGATACATTTGAATAAAACAGGTGTGCGACAGGGATGTCTTTTGTCGCCTCTCTTATTTTTACTGGCTAGAGACTGGATTATGAAGACAGTAACTGCTAACACCAAGCATGGAATTTAGAAGAACCCTACAAAACAGCTTGATGATCTGGACTTCGCTGATGATATTTCTCGTCTTTCCCATTCACGGAATCAGATGCAAGATAAATTAACTATAGACATCACAGAAGCTTGGTCTGAAAATCCATAAAGGAAAGACAAAGATAAAAAAAAAAAAATTCGGTAAATAGTAATGTGGTTTCTCTTAATAGCACCCCAGTCCAAGACGTGGAGTTGTAAACCTATTTGGGCAGTAATGTAGATAAAGACGGGGAACTGATAGAGATATTAAAATAAGAATACGAAAGGCAAGAGGGGCTTTCATAGCACTAGGGAATTTGTGGAGGTCAACAGAAATTAAAAGAAATCCCAAACTTATAATTGTTAATTCTAACAGTACTTTTGTATGGGGCGGAAACATGGAGAACAATTAAGGCAATTACTAATAAATCACAGACATTCATCAACTGGTGCTTATGCAGGATAGAGGGAATTATATGATATGACAGAATAACTAATGTAGAGCTTGGGGAGAGAACTAAGCAAGCCCTAGTGGACCAAGAGGTGAAAAAAAGACGCTGGCGTTGGATAGGACACACACTGAGAAAACCGGAGAACAGCATAACTAGAATGTATTTGCATTGGAACTCACAGAGGCAAAGAAATAAAGGGAGACCAAAAGACACATGGAGAAGAGAGCTGGAGAATAAAGTTAGAAAGATGGGAAGTACATAGGAAGAGCTCCATACAATAGCGAAGGATAGAACGACTCGGCGTGAGTTTGTTGAGGACCTATGCTCCACTGGGGGATAGATAGGTAGAAGAGAAGAGATTCAAGATAACAATACTTTCTTCAGTAACATTAAAGACATACGTATTTACTGCCACAACAGGTAAGAGGCGCATTATGTTTGAACTGAATATTTGTCACCTGCATTAAGCATTTGGCTCGGGCCCATTGAGACACCTTCCACCCAAGAAAAAAAATAGCGGGGGAGGAGGGCTCACGCAGTTAAGCAAGGCTTAGGCACCTTGACTATTCCCTCACAAGACAATTTTTCTGTACGTAGTTCTTATCCATACGACCTTTGTCGACTCGTTCATCATTGGTTCAATGTGGCTATGACGCTTGACCCTTTAGGAGGTGTATCGGTGAAAGCACTATGATGCAAAACTCGCCAAATTTCTCTGACCTCTTCTAGTTGAACAAGCGTATTGTAATTTAGTCATGTCCATTTCTTTATTTTGTTATTCAAAGTGGGTTTTTTGCTACCTCCCCTCCCTCACCAGGAAATGTCGTATTTCGACTTGAAACCCCCCCCCCCCCCACACACACACACATCCACCCCTCGTTATTCCTTGCAATTAAGTCTTACCACATACGCGAACCAAACTAGCGACATTTCATTATTTAGAATTTTACTTATTTGTTTAGTTGTGTATTCTAAATAGCTAATTCGTAAAATTCTTCTATGACATTCATTTTTGAAAAGCTGAATTCTCCTTTTGCATTTCAATTTTCCATCAGTGATTTTATTGCTGTTCTTGCAGCTACAGTTTTCTTCTGAACTGGGTATTCAGTCACAACCAATCTTCTTTAGGCAAGCAAGTTATGTTGTAAATAAATCAAACGACATGCCTTCCGACAGGCAAAGTATCTTGTGAATAAATACATTTATGTGTCTTCTGAAGAAAAAAAAAAAAAGAAAATGATGTGTTTTCTGACAAGCAAAGTGTATTGTAAATAAATAAATTTATGAATTTCAATCGACAAGCAAAGTTTTTTAAATAAATAACAAAATATGTGCTTGTCGGCAAGCCAAGTAGGTTGCAAATAAATAAAGTCATATGTCTTTCGACAAGCAAATTATGTTGTAAATAAATAAAATTATGCGCTTTCCGACAAGCAAAGTGTGTTCTGAATAAATACAGTCACGTGACGACTACACAATAAAATGGGGCTGCAATGCTATCACAGCTGTATGCGGAAATATGTATTACCTAGTGGGACCTTCCACGAGCCGACTCTCATACCATTTTCCGACTGCCACGACGACAGTTGAAAAAAAAAAGTCTGTATATAGCCCGCGGTACAGAAAGAATCTTGTCGAGCACTGCCTCCGTAAAAACACACTTTGTCAATAATACAGCGCTATTTGAAATGATGGATACTCTTTCATTACGCACATTTTCTTGAATTTTCATTTAATATGTATAAAATGTGTCCGGGAAAACCACAACAGCCAAAATAATGCTAGGGTTGGTTCTGCAACGTTCGTTCTGTAAAGAATATGCAACTAACTCAACTGAATGTACAATAATATTATTAATATACATACAAAGGGGTGGGGGTGGGGTGGGGGAGGGGGAGGAAGAAAAAAAGGGTGAGGGGGTTAATTGTCGAAAACTACCAGTAGAGCGCAGTTGTAAAAACTAATCCCTCGAGTGCACGTGCTTGTACCATCAAGGACCGTTTAGATGCTTGCTCGTGTCTGGGATGAGTTCGGTTACCGCTTAGATAGAGGACACACTAGACAACACAAAGATTGACTGCTATGATTACCATGCTGGGAATCGAACCTGTCACATCCAATGAGTGAAGACACTTTTATTATGGTTTCCTAGTTAGTCATGTATCTTAGTAGACATTTTTCCATAGCGACTCGTACAGTACATATGGAGATGACAGGTTCGATTCCCGGCACGGTAACTGCAGCTATCGCTTAGATGTTTGCATAGTAGCAGACGGTGTTCATATTGAACATCCACGACCTCTACTGGTAATATGTAAACTGTAGCCACTCTCTCTCTCTCTCTCTCTCTCTCTCTCTCTCTCTCTCTCTCTCTCTCTCTCTTCTCTCTCCCTCTTCTCTCTCTCTCTCTTCTCTCTCTCTCACTCTCTCTCTCTTCTCTCTCTCTTCTCTCTCTCTCTCTCTCTCTCTCTCTTCTCTCTCTCTCTCTCTTCTCTCTCTCTCTCTCACTCTCTCTTTCTCTCTTCTCTCTGACTCTCTTCTCTCTCTCTCTCTTCTCTCTCTCTCTCACTCTCTCTTCTCTCTCTCTCTCTCTTCTCTCTCTCTCTCTCTCACTTTTGTATAATCTGTAATGTATATTCAAGGAAATATACAGAATGAAAGTACATCCATTCCTTTGAACAACCCTGTATTTGTTTGTATCCAGAAGCGTCATATAGCTGGCTAGAAAGCAAGCTATCGGCAGATATGTCTTCCTGTGTAGATAGATTGTGTCAGTAAAAACATTATTTTCTTTCTGCAGAGGTGTCGTCCTGTTGGAGGCCAACTTTGAAGCCATTCAAATCAATCAATGCGCTAACGATGGCTCCCTCTTCTCGAACACTCATCGTTGCAGACGAGCATCTACAGAGGTAAGTGTTTCTTCGGATGGTTTAATTAATAATGCTAGCCCATACCCCAAAATAACAATCTTTTCTCCAACAATATAATTACATTCTTTAACACTTCTTTTCTTGTCCCCTCCCCTCCCCCCCCCCAGCCCCCCCCCCCAAACAAAAATACAAACATCGTATCCAACAATACAAGCCTCTTATACAAATACGCATACATCTCATTCAACAATACAAACAATTTTTCCAAAAATGCAGCAGTCTTATCTAAGAGTCCAAGCAGCTGGCTCAACAATGCAACTCTTATGTCTACAATTGGAGCTCCTTTTTCAACAACACAAGTCCACTATCCCACAAAACAAGTCTATTATCCAACAACGCACGTCCAATATCCAACAATGATAGGCCCTAATCCATTTTGTTCATCATCATTCCCATATTGGTTTTGGAGTTCTATTATTTTAGAAAAGAGGTGGGATTATAGATCCCCACATATTTTTGATCTGCCTTTATTTATATAGTCCTGTAATTCCCAGTATATATTTAAAAAAAAGTTCTACTTATATTCTCAGTTTTTTTCAACGTATGTCCCATCAAACTCCTGCCTCTTTTCTTCACCCCCTGACCCACTAGAATTTGTTTTTTTAATTCTCTCCAGAACTCCACGCAAGGTATTCTTGCATACCATTTGACATTGCTATCCTACAAAAACACTTACTAAACAAGCGGAACAGCGCATAAATGCATTTGAATATAAATGTTACAGACAGGTTCTAAGAATATCTTGGGTAAAGAAAAGAACAAATGCATCCATACTTCAAGAGCTGAATATTGAAGAGGGTTGGCTAGTAAAGACAATAAAACAAAGAAAATTGAAATATTTTGGTCACTAGAAACGTCATGGAGGTCTAGAGAGAACAATAATGGAGGGGTATATGCCTGGGAAGAGAGGAAAAGGAAGGCCAAGGAGAAGATGGGTGCAGGATGTGGCAGATGATCTCCAGATGGGTGTATCAGACGCAGGACATCTTGCTCATGATAGGAAGGTTTTCCGGAGGGTTGTTATGGCAGCGAGGTTCCGCGAGGGACATGCTACTGAATGAATGAATGAATCCTACAAAAAAATATCTAAAAAACTAATAAGGATTCTTTCTGGTGCGTTCTATTGCAGTGCAAGAATACTCCAAGTTCAGGACTTCGAGTTGGGAGCTATCAATGCGTATGCAAAAACGGCTACCGTTTTCCTAACCCTACCGCAGCAGACCAGTTTTTCCATGGTAGAGCGGTGGAGAACGCGTATTTGGATTACATGCGGAATATAAGTTCCAACTACACATCGGAGTTTAACTGCTTGCTCATGACGACGCCATCTTCACCCTCCACGCCACAGAGTGCGGAGGTTGAACCCATTGTGGCGTATGACATTTTAGTTCGTGGGATTCCTCTGGGTATTCAAAGTTTTTGCATGACCGTTTCTGTTGTCATAGGAACGGTCATCATCTGTTTGAGGAAAACAAAGGTAAGTAGTATGATATGTTGTTTTCGTTTTTGTTGTTGTTGTTGTTGTTGTTGTTGTTCCTTCGTTGTTTCAGGGATCAACCAGGCAAATTAGGGACAGAGGAATAACGAAATCCCGGAGCACACCAACATACGAAACACGAGCACTGATTATACTCTACAAGTTACGACTCCAGTGGAGCAAGGAGAATTTTGAATTAACAAGCAAAATCAAATCACGTTGGGGATTCCTATAAACGCTTCGTCCCCCTCCTAATCAGCAAGCACAGGGTCCCAATTCCGATGGCACTAGTAGTAGCCTGATGGTATATTTATCTCGCCTATCGCTTGGGTGATGAGCGTCAGCCAGATTCCTTGGTCATTCCCAGCATCACCATTCTTCTGAGACCCGGATGATCTGTTTGTGCCTCCGAACTATTTACTCGCTCCCAAAGAAACCTTATATATCAAGATTTTGTTCATCAAATCACCACCTTGTAGTGCTGAACCATCAAGTCCATCTGCCTTTTCGTTTTGATACATACTTGCATTACCTTTAGAAAATATCAAAATGGCATTACATAGCCGGGACTGGAGCTGGTATTAAAACATAGAAAGCCCAGCAGATGGGAAGGCAACCACACGTACAGAAACACTTTCTTTCTCTCTTTCTTTCTTTCTATTTTTCTTTTTTCCTTCTTTCTTTCTTTCTTTCTTTCTTTCTTTCTTTCTTTCTTTCTTTCTTTTCTTTCTTTCTTTCTTTCTTTCTTTCTTTCTTTCTTTCTTTTTTCTTTCTTTCTTTCTTTCTTTCTTTCTTTCTTTCTTTCTTTCTTTCTTTCTTTCTTTCTTTCTTTCTTTCTTTCTTTTCTTTCTTTTCTTTTTTTTTTTTCTTTCTTTTTCTTTCTTTCTTTCTTTCTTTTCTTTCTTTCTTTCTTTCTTTCTTTCTTTCTTCTTTCTTTTCTTTTCTTTCTTTCTTTTTCTTTCTTTTCTTTCTTTCTTTCTTTCTTTTCTTTCTTTCTTTCTTTCTTTTCTTTTTTTTTCTTTCTTTTTTTTCTTTCTTACTTACTTACTTTCTTTCTTTCTTTCTTTCTTTCTTTTTTCTTACTTTCTTTCTTTCTTTCTTTCTTTCTTTCTTTCTTTCTTTCTTTCTTTCTTTCTTTCTTTCTTTTTTTCTTACTTTCCTTTCTTCTTTCTTTCTTTCTTTCTTTCTTTCTTTCTTTTCTTTCTTTTCTTTCTTTCTTTCTTTTTCTTTCTTGCTTTCTTTCTTCCTTTCTTGCTTTCTTTCTTTCTTTCTTTCTTTCTTTCTTTCTTTCTTTCTTTCTTTCTTTCTTTCTTTCTTTCTTTCTTTCTCTTTCTCTTTCTTTCTTGCTTTCGTTTGTCGTTTCACAGATACCAGATTGTAGCCCAGGGTTATGGTTTTCTATATTTGTCTTGGGTTTCTCGGCTGGCTTGGGCGAGCATCACTAACAATAAGAAGATGTAATCCTCCACATGGGACACCGCTTCGGGTGTCGAGGGAGGTATAAGTTCCCACTTCGTGCCTTTCTGGCTGCTTCGACTATAGACACATCGTGGTGCTGTAGAGTTTCTCTGATGTTATCTTCAGATATTGTTCTCGGTCTACCTCTTGCTCTACGTCCCTCTTCTCTTTTGGTATATGCCTTGTATGGTATAGTATCAGAGGTACTTTTGTTTCTCTAAATAAGTCTGTACATAGAACCATTATATAAAGTTATAATTGTCTGAGCTATTAATTCAGCTATTGATGTAGATTTGGTAATAAATTTATCACCATCATCATCTCATAACACCGCATGTTGCGGTGTCAGCAGCTGTTGTTGAACTGAATGTTTGAACAGTGCCCTCCACCTTGGCCAGTCAGATACAACGGACTTGATGTTTGCATTTTCGAAGCCTGTCCATACTTATTTTTAGTAAATGAGGGTGTTTCTTGGTCTGCATCTTCTTTTCTCTACCCTTCTACCGATCCCTATCAGTCAAAAAGTTTCATCTAGAGCAGGAAAAATCAGAGTTAATTAAAATTTATAGATGTTTAACGAGAGAAAAGTAATAAGTAAGAGTTTGCATTAGATCTGGTGTGGGAAACTTCTGGTACGTCTGTCTTGTATAACGCTTGAGAACATTTCAAACGACACGCAGAGTTAATTAAGTATAGTATATGACCTTTGTTTAAAATCACATAGTAGACAACGATCAGCGTAAAGATCTGAATTTTCTAATAAATCATTCTTGAACATAAAATGACTGTGCACACTAGTTCTTACATGTTATGATTTGGCAACACTGCCCAGCACCGTGAGTGACTTTGCAGCATAACTTCCACACGACTCTCATGTAATCAGGTAACCGTCATTGCGAATTCATAACAAACGAATCTCACCATAGGCGCTCCGTTCCTGTGCCAACGAAACCCACACCAGTCCATTGTGGAAAACAAAGTGACAGAGACTGCGGTCTCATCAAAGCGAATCGCATACACATGCATTACATGCATGAGGCAGTCGTCAGAAGTGCCAGCCCAATTAGGCCGGTACTCGAAACGCAGTTGCGACTCTGCTAAAAGGTAGTCGACACTTGTACTTGACGAGATAAAAGTAAGTAACGTTAGCTGCTTATCCTCTACACACTTCAGAAACCAACCATTTGTTGGCTGTCTGTGGATTTAATGATCAGTGTTACGTTCATTAGTTTGCCATTGCTTACTAAATGGTCAGCCTCATACCATTGATAAAGCCAACCAGTTGTGTGGATAAAGCAGACGTGTTGAAGACTCCCTGTGATCATAAGAACGGTGCACTGGAACAGACAGGAAATCCATATGCTGAAAGATTAATTTAGTGGGGGTTCTGCAAGATATTCAACACATGAGAGGTAAACATAAGCGGACTTGTAATCAGGTTGTAACCGGTACAGTAACATTCCAACTCTTTGGTGGCCACTAAAGAAAGGGACCTATGGGAATGTCCTAGTTCTGTGATATCAGTTCTGGATTGATTTCTTCACCGTTGTCGAAATCAATACAAAGAGATCTTCTACCACATCGTCTGCAGCTGTATAGTACGGTATATTGTGGACTTGCAAACCGCTTTCACAACCCCTAAGCCGCAGACTCTGACTGATGGTAGAATGCCCTAATGTCTCATGTTGAGGTAGAACGGACTGAAAGTTATAACCACCTGGATTTGAGCTTGCCGCTTCTAGATAAAGACAACTACATGCTAATCATCATCACCATGTGCCGTGCATTAAGTCTAGGCTGTCCTCTGTCGCTGTCTCACACGATCATCAGAATCACGGATCAGATTAACGTTCTTATTTTGCACTATCAGTGCTGTTCATCTGTTTGCTTTCATCTTGCTCTCTTTCTAGCAATATTATCAATTGTTACCAGATTCTTCTGTCCGTTTCTTCTCACAACATGCTTACAAACATTGACTGTCTATGTCTTATTGTTCTGATTAGTTACACATTTGCATCTGTCTTAACGAAGACTACTTCATTTGTTTTTCTACCCTTCTATGATATTCTATGCATTCTTCTCAAAAACGACATCTCTGCCGGGAGTAAATTTTTTTTTTTTTTTGCCTCAGCTATGTCCATACCACACATGCATAGAACAGCACAGTTTCTACACCGCACTCTAACACACTTTTTTATCACTACAGCTGATATCTTCTTATTGAAGAGAATCTTTTGCACCTTGCTTATTGTCACCTTTGCCCTGGCGATTCTCGTTGTAATTTCTACAAGCATCTTGTATCAGATGTTTTGACAGTTACAAGATATCTGTATCTGTTGACTTGCGTTTTGACAGTCCCAAGAAAGCTGTATCTATTGATTTGCTTAGTAACTTTGCCATTTGCCTGTATTTCATCCGCTGTATATGCCTTTCTTCTTGGTGATTACAACTTAACTGTAAGCCTAGTTTATGTCTATGAACTATTACTGCATCTACTAAATATAAGCCTAGTTTCTGTCTATGAACTATTACTGCATCCACTAAATATAAGCCTAGTTTCTGTCTATGAACTATTACTGCATCCACTAAATATAAGCCTAGTTTATGTCTATGAACTATTACTGCATCCACTAAATATAAGCCTAGTTTATGTCTATGAACTATTACTGCATCCACTAAATGTAAACCTAGTTTATGTCTATGAACTATTACTGCATCCACTAAATATAAATCTAGTGCCCAATTTCGTATTGGTCTATCCCTGCCCCTCTAACCTAGTACCATGCCTTCTGATATTACTTTTTCCAGTTCGCCATTGCACTTGATAAGACCAAAATATTTCAGTTTCAGAGACCAGATGCTGTTTATTTATTCAATCATTTTCAATCATCCTTAATATTCAGATCTTTTAAAATGTCAGTATTTCTTCTTTTCTTTGTCGATGGTATTCTGAGAATCTTTCTTTAGCACTTCAGCTCAAAAGTCCTAATTTGTTATGTAAAGGATTTTCTTCCACCCCTTCATGCGAATTAGGTATTTAGGGCAAAACCTATATTGAATAAAACGGCACTTCGTGGGAGATGTAGTTAGCATCACGTCGGCTGCCTTTAACTTCCTAGGACCGTACCTGGTACTCACTAAAGGATCGATCAACCTGGAAGCCAAGGTAATTTTGCTAAAATGTCCGGAACCTGTCAGAACCCGAACCCATGCCCTCCAATCCACAGGCGAGCGTCTAGCCGCTCGATCACGGCATCTCCCCTGTTTTGATATAAAAGTTAGTTGCGTATCCTTTACAGGACGTTGCAGAACCAACCCTAACAGCCCTGGCTGTTGTGTGGTTTCTCTAGGCAGTTTAAATCCAGTTGTTTGCCATTGCTTCCTGGACGGTCGGCTTTCTTGATACCACTGTCGAAACCAACGCAAGGCGCATTGCTCGCAGCTGGGATCGAATCTGGCATCCCGGCATTGCGAAGCGTTCGCATCGACTTAGCCACAGAGCCGACCTATTTTGATATACTCTGCTAAAAATTAAGCTTTTA